CGAAAATGCAACTCAAAATGCTGGTGAATCACACCAGTAAGAAAAAAAGCAATACTGTTTTAGTTAGTTGATTTAAACAACAAATTTTGGTATACGAGTTTGGGTTCGAATTAAGACGTGACAGCTTTTTAACGGTAGGGATTCTACAGGACTCTACGTGTGGAACAATAGTCTTAATTCAGACCACAACGGGCAAGCTGTCACTTAGTTCCACGTAGAACCAAAAATGAACTATTTTATATCAAATTATTTCCTATTTTCGGAGCTTTCTGAGCTCACTTTTTTCCTCTCAGAATTCAGATCTTCGAAACAAAATGGACTTCTGGACACTGCTTATTTGCATGGAATAAAATCGAAATCAGAATCGATTCCAAGAACAGATTTCTCTTAACATGAAATTACTAAATCATTTACTACTGGAGCGCTAAGGTGCTTACTACTGGGCTTCACTCTTATATTTCTCAGCTCGTCGGAGCTTTCCGAGCTTCTTTAGCTCGTCGGAGCTTTTTTTCTTCTCAGAATTCACGTTGGCGATTCGAAATCGACATCCGGACACTGCTTATTTGCATGGAATAAAATCGAAATCAAAATCGCTTCCAAGAACAGATTTCTCTTAACATAAATTGCACTTACACTTACACTTCAGCAACTTCACCAACTACACCAGGATCAGTATCAACTAAGCCTTTCACTCCCTCCAGTACCTCAACTGACATATTAGAGGCAACTCTCGCTTCTTCTGTCAAACTGGCAAGGAAAGTTAGTGCTTGGTTCTTCAATCTCTCCCTCTCTCTTCCATAGGCAGTTTCTCTGATTGTTATCTCATCATCTTTCAGTCTCTGCAATAGAGCTTCATCAGAATCAGTCCAAGAAGCTGATGGAGGGGTGGGATCATTTTTCACCTTAATCCACATATCCAATAGCTTGTCTTTCTTTGCAAGAATTTTCTTTTGCTGCTTCCACTGACACAAAACCTTCAGAGTAGACACTGGGATGATCTTTGCATCTTCATCATTCTTAACATCTYTTCCCTTTGAAGCAAAATTCTGAATGAAACCAACAGCTTTACTGTTCAAAACTTCAGCTGCTTTTGCAATCTTCTTCTTCGCTTCCAAATGTTGAATCTCATCTAAACGCCGGGTTCTTTCCTTTGCGATAAAGTAATCTTTTGTGTTCAGTGTTTCACCGCCTGTTGCAATAAAGTGCTGGTATACGAGTACTGTTGCAAAAACAGGGGTATTGGTCTCTGTACGAGGACTCCTAATGTCAAGCGCACTAAAGTCAAGTACTTGGCAATCCCCGTACAAATACTAATAGAAATTTTTAGCTCATTTTTACAGTTAAAAAAAGGCATCCAATGGATGAAAATAAAAATATTTCCATTGTTAGTGGTCCTTAATACTTGAGATAAGCACTGATTTGATATTCTCAGTAGTAAGTAACAGGAATAGAAATATTTTCGGACTTGTATTATTTTTCGTGGAGGAGGGGGAGAGGAGAAATAAAGACGGGAAAATAAAAAAAATTGACACCCGGGGAATTGCCAAGTGACTTTATTGCGCTTGACATTAGGAGTCCTCCTCTGTACATAGAAATATGGGGTAGGGCATATTCAGTATTGTTATTGCGGTGCGTTGAGGCAATTACGATAATGCAATTTTAGTTGCAAAATACCAATGATGTACGTGGAAGCTTTTAAACCGCCAAGTTTCACCCCCCAAAAACTTCACAAAAAATTCTTCAGACGAATACAGTAATACAGTAATCCCCAGAATTCCTGCCGAGCGAAGATAGATGAAGTACAGTAGCTCGCGAACCAAAAAAGTACTGTATGTGGTACAGTACTTACCGTACGATACGAGTCGGTTGAGCATTATCGGTATTTATGTCTGTCAGATTCTTGCATTTGSTTCGCTACATCTTAMAATTACTCACGYCGATCGTTACGAAAGAGAAGTAACTTAGTTTGTAACACAAAAGAGCCTAGGATTCTATACAGCACAACGGTGGGATTAWAATTTAGCTTCATTGGCGTGTGWGGAACACCATACTGGTTCGTGTCGYATCGTTTCAGAATTCATAACTTTCTGCCATGTCTTATGCGTTCCAACAAGGAGCTCCCGGTCGCGGTCGCGGACGCGGTCGGATGATGCCTCCCGGCATGGGCCGGGGAGGCCGCGGCGCTCCGAACCCATATGGCGGAATGATGGGCCCCGCCGGAATGATGGGGAGGGGCGGCCGGATGATGCATCCCGGGATGATGGGCCGCGGCGGCAGGGGAGGCCGGATGGTACACCCCGGGGGCCGGATGCTKCACCAGGGGAGGGGCCGGGGCGGCCGTGCGATGATGCCCGGGAGGGGCCGTGGRCAGGGCGGGATGATGGGCCGGGGTGCCTTTGGTACCAAGAAACCCATTCCTTGCACTCTCGAYAAATTCAACAGTTACATCGGGTACATTATCACCTGCTWCATGGAGCGCGAGGAACAGGAATCTTTGGGGATTGCATTTCCRCAGTTTACACCGTCTCCCCTCACTCCAGACCAACAAAAACAGCTCATGATGAAGAAGAAACAGAAAGAGATGATGGAGTTTCGTGAGAAGAACAAGGAACTCAAGAATACGACGSCCAAAAACGAAAAGGAACAGGAAGGCGAGCAGGAGCACGGCGAACCCAATTCGATTGATAATGGAATTCTTGGGACAGATAGCGACAAGAGCTSGGAGGAAACTCCCGGCGTCACGACCGATACCACGAACGAAAAAGATTTCTCTGGTGGCAAAGACTGTCCGGAAAATACCAAGGTCGACATCGACGGTGTGTCGAGCGAGGAAGACGCAAYTGAGGCGGAAAAAGATACSAAGAAAGGCGATTCCAGCGATCCCAACAAGGTGGAAGTGTCGTCCAGCGAGGAAGGTTCCAAAGAAGACGAAGGGATTCCCCCGCCGGATCCTTCGTGCCCCTGCGAACCCTGCGTCAGGGCCATCGAGAAGACCAAGGGGAAGGAATCGTGCAARTGCTCGGACTGCCGCAAGGAGCAAATAAAGGCCATAAAGGATTGCGATTGCGATCGATGCGAGGTTCTGGCACAGAAGATACCCGATGCCAACGTTCTAGTGGACGCTCCCGCGGACGCTCCAAAGGGTGACGACTGCACCAAGAAAAATCAGCCAGACAAGGAGAAGATGGAGAAGATGAAGGAGATGATGGAAAAACGCCAGCAGCAAATCAAGATGAACCTTACGGATTGCGACACACTTCTAGCCAAGCTCAACACAAARCGGTTGTATCGACGCATCAAATATTACAAGCGCAAGGACCCGGAATACGATGTGGACAAGGCATAYCCGTATAACAAGAAAACGACGGAGATTGCGATGATCGAGTGGGAAGCTCTGATCGAAGACTGGAAAACGCGACGCAAAGCGGAGATCGAACAGATCAAGGCCAAGAACAAGGAGGATGCAGAAAAAAGAGCAAAAGGTMTGGCTAAGCGAGCCAAAAAATTCAAGAAAAAAGGTGGCAAGGGGAAGAAGAGATCAAGCCCTAGGAAAAAAACACAAGCCAGCGCAGTGGAAGAAGAAAACATTCCAACACTCGAAGAGGAGGGAAACGAAGTGGAGGACGAGGACGAGGACAATGATTCCAGTGGTGAAGAGAGTGAACCCGAGGAAGAATGCGRCAATGGTGATGTCGAAGACGACAAATTCGAATACGTTGCGGTGAAGCCATCGAAGTATGAGTTGCTGATGTTCACTCCTTGCCCCCGAGCGGTTGCGGTCCTTGCGTCCTATCCTCGAAGTGGCAACTCCCTCATGAGAAATCTCTATGAAAAAATCACGCTCCGTGTAACGGGGAGCGACATGATGGGTGGCTTGCAAGCGCACGATCTCGTGGGTGAAATGGCAACAGGCACCAACAAGTGCCAATTCGTGAAGACGCATTATCCCGAGCGCATGGGCRCCCGGCCGTTCGCCGTGAGCCGGGCCGTGTTGCTGGTTCGCAACCCCTACGATGCCATGGATTCGTATTTCAACCTGATGACCACGAGTACCCACACCACCAGTCTTACCGAAGACGATCGCAAGAAATTTTACCAAATTTTTGCCGAGATGGCCAAGAGGGAAGTGTTGGTMTGGAGAGACTTTCACGAATACTGGCTCAAGCAGAAGATTCCTCTCCTGGTGGTTCGCTACGAGGATTTGATCCGGGATACCGTGAAGGTCATCAGCAAGGTAATCCGGTTCGTCCTGGAAATCACTAGAATGACGTTTTTCGAGGAGCGAATCATGCGTGCCATCGGAGAGGAGCAAGTCGAAAAGCTCGGTCCCTACAAGGCTCGTTCCGGAGGTGTCGGAAGAAGCATAACCAAGGGACACTACTCGCCAYTTTTGTTGCAGCAAATCAACCACGGAATCATTGGCACGATGGAAAAGTTTGGATACAAAGAGATGCTTGTGCCCAATCCCAAGCAATGGAAGCTCAGACCGCTTGACCAGCACGGTGTTTACATTCCTGGAACCAGCAAAGAACCCATGATCATCAATCGAGACGGGCTTGTGAGAGGCGCGATGCGGCAGACAAACTGGCCAGTGGTGCAAAAATTTATCCAACAAACCAGATTCAAAGAGGCGAAAGAGAAAATGGAGAAGGAAAAGGCAAAGGAGAAGATAGCACCGGTCGAAGAAAAGAAGTTGGATTTGTTTTAAGGTGTCGGCCGTTTGAACGCKMGYGYYAAATYAATGTAGTAAGAATGGCCGCTTGTCGTCTACGATACCGTCGRGACGAGAAGACAGCCATCTATCCCCTCGTTCTCAATCACGACCTYTTTAGTACTGCTTCGTCTACCTAGCTGAAAAGTTATCAAAAAAATACTATCAAACACAGATTTTAATTGCATAACTCGAAAACAAAATTGTCGAAAAAAAAAAACAGTGTGAAAGTCCAATGCGTAGTAGTAGATTGATTTACTCCTATTCTACCCTGAGCCGTTGGTGCTCGAGATCGCTGTCTTATCACTGGCAGGTCTCTTTCGAAGTTATCTTGAATGGGACACCTAGGGAGACGACCGGTTGCCAAATAATTTCATGGTGTTTTGATGGTTGCGATCGGCTCTTCCTAGTTGCATAGCATCCGATTCAATGGATGGATGGGCATACGTCTGTSGATTGGTTGGCGGCACGGAGTCTCGATTCGATTCGATTCGAACTCTTTCCGTGGCAGAACAACGGGTGCCMACTAAAAGACGTTCTTTGGTGGTTCGCGGTACTGRACCGACAGCATTCCGGGGTCCTGTGGCTGGCCCCCAAAGACCTGGGGCTGCTGCTGGGACGGGAGGCTCCCGGGGGCAAAGGTGCCCAGTATCGTCGACCCCTGGGGTCCCGCGGCGGGCTGCATCTGCGCTTGCTGCGGGTTTGGGTTGCCGCTGCTGGCGACGGGCTGSTGGTGGTGCGGCGAGAGGATCTGCGGCCCGGGGRCCTGGCCCTGCACCACGGGTTGCGGTGGCGGCTGGGGTCCCTGGCCGGCCGCGGAAGCGTCTCCGATGACGTTCGCGTTGGGATCGAGCTGGACCTTTTCCAGCTGTGGGATGAGGTTTGCCCATATCTGTTCCATCCGCTTGTTGTATTCCACCTGCATGCGAATGTATTCCAGGACCGTCAGYCTCATGTCCTCGGTCGTTTCCCTCTTGAAGCGGTCCACCTCGCGGAGGACCCGCTGGCTGACCGTCGCGAACTGGTCCCTGGCGATCTCCGCGTTTTCCTGGGCGCGGCGGAGGGACATTTCGGCCGAGTAGGCCTTGGCCTCCATCCCCATCCCGAGCTGGGACCGGATCTTGTTGAGCTGCGAGTTCTTGTACTCGACCTCYTGCAGGCAGGTGCTGTAGGTCAGGCGCTTTTCGTGGCGCTTGTGGAGCGCCAGTTTGACGGCGTGGATCATCTTGATCATGTCCACCAGGGGGTCCTCGAACTGGGAGGACTCCAGGTCGGCGTGCTCCGCGCTGAGGACGGAGAGCTGGTCGGCGGTCTCTCCYAGCCGGCAGAGGGCATCGCCCAGGGCGTCCGCCTCGGACTGGCCCAGCAGGTTAAAGGCCAGGCCGAATTCGAAGAGCCCGTTGGCCATTTCCTTGCCCTTGCGGACCAGGCCCGAGGCCTGCGTGGAAACGTTCTTCATCTGCGTGTCCAGTCCGTGGATGTAGCGCTGGACTTCTTCAAAGAGCTCGTCGTCGGGAGATCGAACCTGTCCCACGCACCGGCAAGCCCATGCGACACAAGGACCACAATGCAAAACAACGGGAAAGGATAGGATGCAACACAACACAACACAAGACAAGACAAGACAAGACAAGACAAGACAACACAAGACAGCAAAAGCAAAACCAAGAGGTGAGTGTCGTGAATCGTGAACCATCCGAGCCAGGCCGCAAACACCGCCGCGAGGCGGACTCCAAACGAGAACGGGGACAGCAGCACGCCACGGGGATCGCAGCCCAAACGTTCCGCACGTACCAGATCGCCCGAGATGGACGTCTTGGTCTCGGCAAACCACCGCTTGAAGCCCTCCTTCTTGGTGGGCGAGGACATTTGCGGCGGCGGCATCATCACGCTGTGGCCCATGCTTCCCATCATCCCCATGCCTCCCATCATGCCCGACTGCTGGAGGACGACGCCTCCGGGGCCGGCCTTGCTGTTCTTGGCCGCCTGGAAGGTCATGTCGTCCGCCTTCAGAAAGGCGTCGAGGCAGGCGCATCCCTGKAGCTCGGGGTGGACGGCAGCCCGGCGCAAAAAGCGCTCGAGCTCCCGGCGGCGGATCTCCAMAAAGGCCGGGTTRAAGCGTCCCACCGGCTGTTTCTCCGGRAGGGGGGGGACGATKGCCCCCGGCCGCTCTCCCTGGAGTCGCTCGTAGAGCCAGAGRAAGTCGCTGTACCGGCGGAGGACGGCCGAGAAGACCTGGGTGGTCGCCATGTCGCTGTTTGGGGGCCGGACGTCGACGCGGTAGGAGGTGTATTTGTTGACGCCCTCCGAGTGCTGGACGGGGTCCGAGACCTGCGGTGTGGCGTATTGGTTCCGTGTTGGTTGGGTTGGGTTGGGTTGGGTTGGGTTGGGTTTGGATTGGATTGGTTTGGATTGAATCGGTTGGAAACGCATTTGGAACGGGGACATTCCGTTGTCCGGGATTTGGTGCAGCGCAAGACCAAAAAGGCAAGCGAGGGTGAGCGTCGGAGCATCCGGCGGCGCGACAACGAACAAATACAAGAACAGGAGCAGGAACAAATACAAATACAAATACAAATACAAGAACAAAAACAAGGAATGGTGTGAGCAGCGGGCACAATCTCAGGTTGGAAAGTCCCCGGCCGTTCTCTTCCGTGGCCAGTACGCATACGCACCGTGATGTGGCTGGCGGCGTCTTCGGGTTTGGGGCGGCGCGACATGGCCGCCTGGGGATTCTGGGGGAGGCCCATTCCACCAATCATGATCGACACAGGAGTATGGTTGTTGTGTGGTTCGGTGCGTTGCGTTGCGTTGCGTCCGAGATTCAGCGTTGCTGCAGTGTTCGTATTGCCGTGCTGCGAAATGGTGTTCCGTACAAGAAATAGTGGCCTAAATTCCTGGTCCCGGTGCGATGAGGAATGCCGTCGGCTTGGGCAGTAAGTTTGTTGATAGATCGATTGGATTCGATTCGATTTGATTCGATTCGATTCCACCGCAGCGTTTGGTTCCTTCCGTGTTATTGATGGATGGATGGATGGATGGATGGATGGATGGATGGATGGATACAATGTAGTGAAGGACGGAAGCTTAGTGGTTTGTCGGGGAAGGCGAGTCGACCTCAGACAAATAAGAGAAAGAGATGGTGGAATCGGGTGTCGTGCCCTACGACGAATCGAACTTCTTTCGGTGATGAATGAATCGATCTGCTCTCACGACACGGCATGATACGGTATGGTGTTTTTGTTGAGATGCCAAACGGTCCTCCGGTCCGGTACGTATGGCACGGTACGTCACGTCACGTACTCGTGCCGGTACGGTACTCGTACAACCCCACGGTAACCTCAAAACGGTTACCGCAAGGATTCTTGTTCCGCCGTTCGTGTTCTTTTCTTCCCTCCGTTTCGAGAAATTTTTGATTCCCTCCCACGACTAATCCCAACGATACAAAACAAGGTCTTCTGAGTGGTATCCTACCGGTACTATTGCCCTACCATAGRTAGCATGCGTACGTATGTGGTATCCTGGAACATATGCTACACTGCTACACTCGGTATCCGGCAACGTAGCATCAATACATACGAAGTAGTACTATATTATTATCATATTAATACCATGTTAACATACATACGTATCATACCGTACCATGAGGATGATCGCAAACCTCAAAATCCCCACGASCATTTTCCATTTTATCCGATGAGATGAGAACGCCGTGTAAAATGACCCGAGACTTTGTGAGCGCGAGTAGGGGGTACGAGTACTGGTACTCGTACTTACTAGGGTAGAAGGTGCCGTAGACCGTGCCACACAGGTCAGTAATTTGAAAATCGGATCGTACTATCGTATCGTATCGTATCGAAAACCGTCGAGCTGTGTTGTACTTCTACTTCGTACTGTAATACGTACCGTCACCGCAGAGGCAAACAAACAAAAACACAGCGTGGTGAACCCATCCCAAAGGCCGATCCCGGGGGATGCGATGCGACAAATACCCCGTCTTCGATCTCAGAATTTACAGCAAAACCTCACGCCAAGAAACAAAGGCACCACCGGGTCCGCCACTCGAACCGACCTGCATTGCTAGCCAGACAGCAACCTAGACAACACAGACAGCCAGGCAGTCGCGGCCTTTCTCGTACCGAGCTGCGGCGACACGAAACCGCAACCATGTCGACGACGGAAGAGCAGCAGCAACAGCAACAACAGCAGCAGCAGCAGCAGCAGCAGCACTTCGCCCTCGTCGAAAAAGACGGATGCAAACCGCTGAGAGTCTCCCTGTCGCAATCGGACAGTGGCTTGGGACACGAAGGCACCGCCGATGACGAACGAGTCGTCCGCGCGGAGCTGGAACAAATCTACCAGACCTACGCCGATCTCTATCCAAACCCGAGGCTGATCGAGGAGAAACGACAGGAGGAGACACTGTTGCAAGCGGCAAGGGCGGCCTCGGCCTTCCRGCGGGAGGCAGCGGGCGAAACCAAAAAGAAGCCCCGCAGGGGGTTCTTTGCCTCGTTGTTTGGCGGCAGGGAACCGGAGGAGGAAAGCAACGGCAGCCGCAGCAACAGCAGCAACAACAACAACAACCAACGCGACAACGAAAAGCTGGCCGAGCAACTGCGGTACGTGGACACGCCCAACGAGCACGACGACGGGAGCCTCTGCGGAACCATGCAGTTCCTGGACGTGGCGTGCATCCCGCCCGAGGTCTATACCGTGGCGAGATCGCACCTGGTGTCGTCGCGGAGGGCCAAGGACCACCCGAACGCCCTGCGGTGGGGACCGGAGAGCCGTAGTCTCCTCGCAAAGCTACAGCATCGTCAACAACAACARCARCAACAACAACAAAGCCGGGAGGACTCGGTTATCTTTGTGGTGGCGGGCCTGGGAGCCATTGCGGAATTCGGTGGCGAGCCCGGGCATGGGTCCTCCTCGTCGTCGCGGGTCCTGCACACCTCGGACCGCGAGGACCTCCTCGCGTACGCCGAGCAAAKCCGGGAACCCGCCGGCTTTGATCCCTCGGCGGCGAGGGGGACCGTCCTCTCGCAAAACTGCATCGCCGTGTCGTGGGGATTCCAGGACGGGATCGCCGTGGTGTACCGCCGACGGGTCCTCCTCTCCGGGAACAACGGCGACGAAAACGAGAACGAGACCGCAACGGAGGAATGGGAGGCGGTCCGGTGGCTGGGACCCTCGGGCCCCGTCCTGGACCACATGACCGGCACCGGGCTGGACTTTTTCCACGACGACGCCGACCAGCCGGGGTCCCCCCTGCTGGCGGTCAGCGACTGTGTGGCCCTGCACGCCGAGGCCCCCGTTGCCGGCGCCGTGGCCSTTCTGGTCGTCGCTCGGCTGGGCGGCTACATCGAGCTCGTCCCGATGCCGAACGACCTGTGGGCGGGCCCCGTCCTGGAGCGAGACGCTTCGGCCGCGAGAAAGGAGCAGAAGGCCCGGCGGCAGCGGCAACGGCAGCCACACTATGCCACCGGACGGGCCATCGGGAGTCCCCCGACCACGCTGGCGCTGACCACCTTCGACTACCACCTCGACGTCCAGACCMTGGAGGTCCACCGGACCGGCGTCGACGGCGAGACGCAATGGAACAACGAGTTGTATCCCGACGGCCCGCCGGCCGAGTTTTTGCTGGTGGCCTCYGGGATGTCCGCCGACGGTGGATTCGGGGAAACCCTGACCTTTTGGTCGGTCAGCACGCTCTTTGCCTCCGCCCCCGAGGGGCCCGATGGCGAAAGCGGCCACCGCGATTCCCGGTTCGAGGTCCACTCCTCCCTGCTCGAGGCGATCTGGACCGGGGCCGGGGCACCCGTGAGCATCTTTGCGACGCAAGGAATCATGCGCCGCTGGAGAACCCCGCGGCACGTGGAACTGAAGGACCCTTCCACCGGCGAACGGGGATCTCCGGGTGGCGGCGGCGCCGGCGACGACGACGGCAGCCCGCCCGCACCGGCGCTGGCACCGGTGACGACCCTCTCGACGCCGGCTCCGATCGTGTGCGGAAGGTTCTCGGGCAGCGACGGGCCTTCGGGGCCCTTTCTGTCCCTTCTGGACTGGAACGGTGCCGCCCAGGTGTTCGATTGCTCCGTCGTTGCCCGGCTGGCGGCGCAGGACCTGACGGAAGAGGAGTACGAGCGGTACCGGAGCCTTCGGCCCGGGGCCGAGCAAGACGGGCAGCGGGAGGACGAGCAGCAGCAACAACAACAACAACAACAACAGGAACCCTTTCTTCTCGTGTCCAGCGTCGTCGATCGGAGCCAGGTCGCGGCGGCCCTGCAGAAAGTGGCGAGGGCTCCGGCCGTGAGCAACCTGCACTGGCTCGAATCTTCTGGTCTGGGCACCGATGGATACAATTTGCCGACCATTGTCTTTCTGCTGGGCCATTCCAGGARGCTGGCGGTGGTTACCTTTGACCTCGGCGGGGACGACCGCGGGCAGCTACGGCAAACACCGGGTTCCTCCGTTTCATCGGTCCCCCTTCCATCCTCGGGAGCCGCCATGGAAACCMTCGGCGACAACACCCTTTCCTTTGTTTCCCTGCGCAGGGGCAGGTCGAAATCGTCGCCCCGGACCCCGGCGCTGCTCTTCCACTATTTCGTAATGGAACAGCTGCAACCGGTGGCCATCGTCGAGACCCTGGCACGGGARTCCAAGCTCCGGGAGGCCATCGAGTCCGCGGGCAAGCTCTCCAAATACGAGCAAAACGAGCTCTCGAGCGTGGTCGTGGATTGCCACCGGCGCCTGTGGGAAACCGGTCGAGACGCGGAGAGCCTGCGCGCCACCGGCGACGAATCGTACATTGTCCGGGAAGCCCTGTCGATCTGCCGGTCCTCGAACGCAAACGAAGACCCCGGGTTTTCTCTGGAGGATCTTCGCTTGGTGCTGAAGCTGGCGCTCGAAACGACAACGGCTTTGGGAGAAAACRACAAACAAAAAGAAATGGCGAGAGACTACTTTGTCCGGCTGGGAACCTACGAGCTCTTGTGCGGGCACTACGGGTCGAAGCCCTCGCTGGGTCGCTTCCGAGCAGAATTCCTCGGGGTCGACCTGGCCGAATTGTCGCACCAACTGGCTTCGCGGGGCGATGTGTCGGCGCTGTCCGTGCTGCTCTTCCGGCATCGATCGAAGGTTCGCCACGGGTTGCTGGGCRTTCTGGGATCGCTCCCACTCGCGCTGCATCCTTCCTCCTTCTGCCACCTGCTGCCGGTGATCCGCAGGGGACAGGTGTCCGATTTGTTTCTGGACCCTGCCGGCCGGGACGCTCCCGAGCTGCCCTGGTCGCACATGCCCCAGTTCATACGGGAGAGGCACCAAGTTTCGATTGTTTCCGACCGATTCGACGAAATCGCCGTGCTGGAGCACAACAAAGGACCACCGGGCGGGGAGGCCGASAGCGAGGAATTTTTCTCGGAMGCGCTGCTCGCGGATTGGTTCGTCGAGAGGGCGAAAGAAATGCAGGCTTTTGTTGGTGACGTGGACGAGGTGGTTCGCATGAGCCAGTTCGGAGCCAGATGCATCGATCCCAAGACGGACTCGTCGTCGGTCCAGGAACTGCACGTYATGTGTCGGACTGCGCTCTCGCTGCAGAGAATGTTGTYGGACCAAGCCGTGYCGATCGATGGTGACGGCATCGATACCGACGACCTGATGGGCATGGATTTGGTCGACCTCCTTGATTTGGTTCTAGATTCCGGAATCCAGAGCTCGGAGGTGCAGTATCGCTTCCACGAGTACGTCCAACCCATCGTCATGGAGATGTCGCATTCGAGTTCGAGSGACGGCTTGGACGAAGCTCTTTCGGCGTATTGCCTCCGAGAAGCCAAGAAATGCAGCGGCCTGCACATTGCTGGAGCGAAGCATGCTTTGGCATTAGCGGTAGCCATTGCAGAAAACAGCAAGGCATCCCTGGACCAAAAGAATCGGCTCATCAAGAACGAACAAATTTTGATACAAATGGTGCTTGCTACGACAAAGGAAATTTCCAGGTTTTTGAGCGACACCGATGCTTCGATCAATGAAAAAAGAGAATTGATCGAAACTATCTGGTCGCTGTACGAGACTTTGCCTGCCCATCTGGCCACACCAGAGTCCGGGAACGAGACCAAACTCAACTCTTTCTACCAAGACATGGTTGGTGTAGACATTTTGTCGAGATGGCCCGGGTGTAAAYCCTTTGAGTTTTTCACCACGCGGCAGAGTGAAATGCGGCAAGAAGGATCCAAGGCCGAAGAAGARAAGCTCGTTGTTGTCGGTCTTTGTAAATCGTTCACTGCCAGTCTTTCGATGGTAGTGAATCCCGAGGACGAGGTTTCGTTGCTTCAGGATCTCCTGTGCGACATTGGAAATCTTCAGAAAGAAGTGTTTGGAAACGCTTCAGATCTTTCAACGATGGTTTGTAATTGTTTGGTTCCGGCTTTCCTGGAAAAGGGACAGTTCAAATTGGTTGCATCCTACCTAGAATCTGATGATACTGTCGTCGACAGACAACAAGTGGAAGAYTACRTCGTCGCGTACCTCGACGAAACCATGTTTTCAGGAGGTGACGACGGAAGCAGRATCTCAAATGCCATCACATGCCAAGATGTTCTTGAAACGGTTTTGCCTGAAATCAAACCTCTCTGCCAAGCAAATCGCCATTATCTRGATGCTTCCCATTTTGTCTCAACCGTCCTCCTTGAAGACAAGCCTCACAARCGCCTGAAACCTTCAGATTTTAAGGAGATGCCTGCCTTGGATGCAGTTGAAACAGTGTTACGAGAAAGCCCAGAATGCATTGCGTGTAGATGCTCCCAGTGGACYGACAGTGATTAYGCTCGGAAAGCGAACAAGCACCTACGTGAAGCAGAGTCGYCCATCGGTGTCMCCGTGGAGGAACAAGAAATTGAAGAACTGCCAGAATTACCCGGAGGCGCTGTTTTCCACCTGGCCACGGTGTTAGGTTTGGAAAGTAGCGTGTCGGCAGTGGCTGTCAAATCCAGGGTTATAYATTACGCCTTGATGTGCGGGTTCCATGGAGCTGGAGCCTCTATTGCTAGGACTCTGATAGATTCGGAATTTGGATCGGGTGAGAATAGGGTGCTCGATTCTGTGAAACTTGACGCCATAGTGGACGTGGTTTCGAACGAAAATTATTTAGACCAGAACACGAAAAAGGAATTGTGTGAATCTGTTTTACGGCGTTTCAAGAGTGAGATCACGATTAGGAACTCCGAGTCGTTCAACACTATTCTCCGAGTGTCGTCAAATCTGGATCATATTACCAGCCGATTCGAGCTGGAAGTGAGCGATTTGCCTCCCGTGAGGAAAGATTGTCTATTGTCCCGCCCTATYGCACGCCTACCTGTTCATATCTTCCATGAATATAACAGAGATATAATCTGTCTCTTTAGAGACTTGAGCAACCAAGCAAGTCAAGGGCTGATGCATGATTCTTTGATGGAAGCCCTGAGCCGCTTCATATTCTACTGGTGCATTCACGACTCGAAAACAACCAAGAGATACATTGATTTGAGATATAAAGCAGACGCTGAAGAGAATTTGATGGTAGGTTGCGGTATGATTCTTCAAATCCCAAGCAATGCCACTGCTACAAATTGTGTTAATGAACTACGTGAAATAGCAGTCGCGCAAGCGGCAAGCGTTGCTACTGAAGAAAGATTTGAATCTACACATGCTATTATTTTACCAAATCCCGATATTMTGAAACACCTTATTGACAGAGGATTCAGTGAGAACGGAGCTAGAAGAGCAGTGATAATGACCGGAAACGCTGGATCTAACGAAGCATTGGCATGGGGGGTTCAGCATACAATGGATSCTGACTTCAACGATCCTCTAGTTATGTTGAAGTACTCAAACAGGGAATATATTGATGAGGGTTTTATACAATTGCTTCAGAAGAATCTGATACAAATATCTGATRTTCTCRAAAATCCGACMCAGCGATCCACATTACTCCAGATGGTTGGAAACCACTTTCCGAAGAAGTACGAAAAGAGTGATTTACCGATCTCAAGTGATGCCAAGACAAAGGTGCAACCCACAAAATCAGAATTGAAAACTTCACAAAAGCTGACTTTGAGGCCGATACGCCGAAAGGCGAAAGGAAAAGTTCAGAAGATTGATCCAGAGCAGTCCAGTAGTAACGAAATACTTGACGAAAACGGCTCAACCCCAACTGAAGTCAATGTAGCCGTCAAGCAGAAACAAAAACCTCTGCCACCACCTCGACGCAATATCGTTGACAAAAGTATCTCGACAGCAACTGAAAGAAATCAGGTCACCCAGGGAAAAGAACAACCACGACCACCTCCTCGACACAAAGCCATCAACGAAAATGCCCCGACTCGAAACGAAGTTAATCAGGCCGTCGAGCAAAAACAAGAACTTCAACCACCCCCTAAACGCGTAACCGCCGAAGAAAATGACTCTACCCCCACTGGAATCAATCAAGCCTTTCAACAGAAACAACGCCCACCACCACCTGCTAAACGCATAGCCCCTGAAGAAAATGACTCGACCCCCACTGAAATCACGCCAATCCTGCAGCAGAATCAACAGCCGATGTCTCAGTCTCAACCTGTAACCCTTSAAGAAAAAGACTCGACCTCAACTGAAATCAGTCAAGCCGTCCAACAGCCACGGCGACCACCTCGACCTGTAGCCCTTGAAGAAAATAACTCGACCCCAACTAATATCAGTCCAGCCGTCCAACAACCACGGCCACCACCTCGGCCTGTAACCCTTGATGAAAATGATTCGACCCCAACTGAAATCAGTCAAGTCATCCAAAAGAAACAGCGACCACGGCCGCCGCCTCCACGAGTTTCATCACGCGCAGGAATCGAACCAATGACGAAGTCAGTAAAGCAGGTATCAAAGTCAAAGGTGGCYGGTGATAAGACTCCGGACGATGACAAAAATTTTGATCCTCAATCTTYCACGAAGGTTGCATTGAAACCGACGATAGATAGAGAAGCATTACGGAAAAAAGCCAAAGAAGCTTTGAAGAAGCTTCAGGGTAATCAATCTGCCACTGAAAATGGAGTCGAGKGTRGCGCTGCGAATGCAGGATTGAGTTCCAAGACAAAAACTGCGAGTGATGTGCTAAAAGCAACAGCACAAAAAAGAAACAAAATGGGCTCGCAGATAGTAAACGGTGATGGTTCTACCACTGGTAAAGAAGTAAAGAATAGGGTATCCAAAATTGGAACAGTGACTGGAATGACACACAATCGACGAGAAGACTTGCTGAAGCGAGGGCAATTAGCACGARAGAGAGAACAGACAGCCACAATGAAAGAGCAAACCAATGCATCCACMGCTGAAGATGGCGTCAAAAGTAGTATTTCCAATAATTTGGTAACAAAGATAGCTACGAAAACTGCAATGGACCGACGAGAGGCGCTGCTCAAGAAAGCACAGGAGGCTCTTAGCCGGCGGCGAAATCCCACTACTAATAGTTCCGACAGCCGCACAAGACTTATTCAAGAAGGGAAAGAGTTACGRCTGCAAACCAAGCCTTCCCGTCCCACTGCTCCAAACCGTACCGGTCCGGTGACACGCAGCCGTCCAAACACAAAATTTGCGWCGTCTTTGCCATCGTCCTCTAAATCAACASCGTCATCGCAAGTCCGGAAAACGATCSTAGAACCCAAGCTAGCACCTATGAGCATTTCGACCAGTGAGAAGCCATCCCAGTTGGAAAACCCTTCTYCTATTGGAACYACCAATGGAGGTAACACCGGGGAACCAACAACGAATGATGGTAATGAGAGCGAGGACTCCGGATGGGACTTTGATGACTTTGACGACTTTTGAGAGATATCCGTTCGAGTAGGACAATAGTCCCCACCAAATATATAAAAGCTGATTTCGGCCTATCAATGTTGTATGGATATTTAATCATGTTCTAAAAAAGTCTAGCACTAGAATTTGAAATAGTGGTTTCGACTAGTAATTTCTTTACTTYGGCATCGTACAATTGCCGTACATCACTTTTGRAGACAAGGATCGGCCTTTTAAGGATTGCTGTCATCGACRCGAGGTGGGACGTAGACGATCATTCCGTCCATTTGCTTCGTCACAGTAATCATAGAAGCAAGTCGACTTTCCGGAAAAACTTCGTCGAAATCCCAATAGTCTTCGATCATTCGTGTTTCTTCGTTTTGAATTTCAAAGATTAATAACCAATGCCAATAAAAGAATTGCAGCGTTAAACGATTGGTAATGTGAGATAATTGCAAACGAATAAATTAATATACATCGGATTGCAATASATCACGCTGTTCATTATTACTTACCCGCGTCAGTTTTAGGCGTTGCAGTATTGACACCGGCACCAGTCACGATCACGTGATCGTATCCGGAAGTAGGACCTGTCCCAAACACTGGTTCGGTCCATGTTTCCGAGTGGACGATTTCAGAGGGACCGCCAATGGACATGGGGCCGAGTTCAACTTCGTTAGATTCACAGGCTTCATAAAGTGATTTACCTTCATCCATTCATAAAGTTAATTTGCACAAAAAAGGAATGCGTGAGTCTGTTATACTTCCTTCGGTGTGGCGCGTTAACATCRGGAGACAGGATTCCATGCATGTGTGAAGAAAAACAGTTCATGSAGCTAGCGTCTCTTCTTGTGACTCCGAAGCAAGAAGGTAGAGACAATGTCAAATATTCTATCGTGTACAAATTGGATATTATTTTCAAGAAGGTATYGATGTCGATTTCCCGAAGAAGCTTGGTGGARACAAATTACCCTGTATTAAGGCACACAAAMAGTCGAAAASCCAGATAAATGCGATGCCGAACTTTTACTTTTCAACACTCACCAACGACGCCATTGATCTTTCGCCTCGCACCACTGGGATCCACTATCGTCAAGCTAACGATCTTGTCAAAGACAGAAGGAGCGGGTGCACCMACAGCAGGAGCTGCATCTGCAGCGGCGCCGAAGGATCGAAGTCCGACCMTCTTGCTTTGTCCCGATGCGGCACGCATGAATCGATTGCAGGTCAAGCGCAGAGCCATGTTGTTGCGTYAMGTTTTATTTCSTTTTATTATACTGTCGTCGCTAGTGCTAGAGGATTCGGATCCTGATGATCCCTACTGATCGATAASGTTGCTACTAATACTGATGTTTACACTTTCAACAACATCGGCAAGAGAGACAAAAAGCATCGCCACTTCCAAGAAACTCTCACTGCYCGTAGCTCGTWGTAGATGGGTCGTTGCTACAGTACGGTACCGTACGTACGTACCAGCGCCTCAGCCCTCAGAACGAACCAAGTGCTGGGAACTACGTACGTACTGTACTGTACGAACGTAATGTASAGTAAATCGAAAGCAATCCTTGGGGGAGAAAAATCGTACTGATTCAATTTCGAGATACTATTTTTGCACCCCCCCCCTTTTTGAAAACACGTACGGGTACAACTACTTCAGTACTCGTACTCGTTTTTCCTTCAAGCTGTACGTGTACTTGTACTTGCTACRTAGTCTGTCGTGGTAACAACGAAACGATCAAACTCGCATCATCTGAGATCTTAAAGCAGCAACGACTGAAATGGTACAAAAAACTTGGATCTTCCCGATACTGTAATACAGTAGTACAGTTCGTTACGGTAACAAGTACTACGATTAGTCACTCTGTAGAACAGATTCAACTCCGACATGAAAATTCTGTATCGCTGAACCGAATAAATCAGTGGCCGGAAGATGAAGAGTTGCCTGTCGTCGTTCATCTTTGTGGTACTTTGCACTCGGTATGAAACACACGCACTGGGGGTTGCGAAACCGAAAAAAGTTGTCGTGATCGGTGGTGGGTGGGCTGGCTTTAGCGCAGCCGATGCCCTGTCGGAAATTCAGCAGCAATCGGACGGGGAAGGTGGAGCTTCTGCTCCGGCATTTCAGGTTGAAATCTTAGATGCCTCACCCCGTGGTCCCGGAGGACTTGCTGCGGGCTGGAGAACGCCGAAGTTGAATAGGCCAGTGGAGGCTGGTCTGCACGGCTTTTGGAGAGAATATAAGAACACATTTGCTGCCATCGAGAGAATCGGTTTAGAGCTAGACGACGTCCTGACTCCATTCACACCTTCTATTCTAGTTTCAAAGTCTGGGAAAGTTGCTCTCTCCCCAGTTCTTGGAGATGGATACGATACGCAGAAGGAYGAGGGAGAAAAGAAGGACAATTCGATTTTTGRAGGAAGCCTCCCAACAGATCCGGAGTCTTTTGTGACCAGTAAATTGGCAGAATTGCTACCTCCTCCATTGGACCTAGCWTTGTTGTCAGAGTTCGAGGGGGACAATCCGCTAAAGGTAGTGGATCGTCTCAGTGGCATTGGAGCACTGGGTGCGTGGGCTGATTTTGAACAGGAAGATGCGAAATCTTGGGAACGCTACGATAAAATTTCGGCAGAAAATCTGTTYAAGTCGGTTGCGGGGGTAACTCCTGTGCTCTACGACGAACTGGTTTCACCTCTACTGCACGTTCTACCAATGACTCCTGGGTACGATTGTTCGGCGGCTGCCGCACTTTCTTGTCTCCATGTATTTGCACTGCAAACTAGGGGTGCCTTCGATGTTCGATGGTGCCGCGGGTCGATCACGGAAAAGATTTTTGACCCATGGAGTCAAAAGCTACAAAAACGAGGAAATGTTAGCCTTCGTGGAGGAGCGAAGGTGACCGGCATTGTTGCTCTCGAAGACAACGATACCGATGCGATTGCTACCAACCCAACGTTTCGAATAACTCTCAACGATGAAGACAATACACTTGATGCAGATTGTGTTGTTTTTGCCATTGGAGGTACATCTCTCAAGAGACTATTGCCCGCATGTCCACCTCTAGCAAAGATCCCACAGACCAAAAACTGGGAGAAATTCCGAGGTGTTACCTGTGTGGCGGTACGTTTGTTCTTCGAAAGAGAACCTATTTTGTTGAAGGAAGCCATGAAGGACTCACCTGTCGTAGTCTGCGGAGCAGCCATAGGAGAAATCCCTGAGCTCTCAGAGACAGGTTTTTGTATTTATGACTTGGAACGACTCCAAGATAGCAATGATGTCGTTTCAGCATTCGAGRTCGACTTTTTCCGTGCTGATCCCCTCACGAATTTGGCAGACGAAGAAGTCRTACGGATAACTCTAAAAGCCGTCACCGYGGCTCTGAATATATCACCTATCCATGAGAGCGCGGTCGCTGATTTATCTGTGGTTCGTGCACGAGATGCAGTCTCCCACTTTTGTGTCGGATCTGCAAGCTGGTCACCCGATGTCAAGTTGAGTGAGGGTATGTATATCTGCGGGGACTGGATTGACCGAACTGGACATGCATCTTGGAGTACAGAGAAATCAGTTGTGACTGGAATTCAGGCTGCCAGTGCCTTAGCTAGTGATTTCAACACCAAGACAGGYATCAGCGTTATACCGGCTGCTCCTGATACACCACAGCTTTCGGCTCTTCGACAATTTTCACGAACAGTTCGTGGTAGGATYCCACCCCCGTTTGAAGATATAAAACCGCAAGCTCCGTGGACTCTAGCTAGGAGATTMTTTTAAGAAATTCAATATATTATCATTTGAACAAAAGTGTTTCATCYTAATCAATTGCTTTATTTACATGAGATCCACCAGGATCATTTCGGCCTCTGCAGCAATCGTGCCACTGAGGTGAGTTCGAGGTGATGAATCCACTTCGGCTGGGCTTATCTTACCTGAAAGTATCGCTCGTTCTACAAAGTAGAGCTGCCTCATTGTCACCAACGCTTTTTCGTGATCTGCGTCAAGACAAGAGTCCAACTTTGCCTTCACTCTGGGCAAAAAAGATATTCGTGTTCTGTTTCGACGAGCTCTCTTAGATTTCGGTGCAAGAGAGTGTCCAGAGTGTCTGTTCTCGATGATTTTTGCMACGGAAATATTATTGGAAGTACCGCTACGTACAAGCTGAGGCTCTGTATTCGAATTAGCATCTCCAAGGCACCGATATGAAACTTTACGTTTCAAGAGCGTCGAAGACGTGGCTGGGCCAGAGAGGGCAGGATCACTCATAGGAACTGTTGGACAATCATCGACTGATGGAGTCGGAGGCAGATTAGCTGAACCATTGTTATTCATTCGGTGAACTTCTGGAACGCTCGATATTATCAAATTGCAATCCGCTTCTTGTTGGCCCGACGATCCTCCGCTTTCTTTGACGACTGGAGTAAAATAAAACTGATGCAACTTCCACAGCTCGTGAGAATTGAATGGAGCATTTGCTAATTCTTTCAAAGGCCGTGTATTCGAACAGAGCCATTCCACTATTATCTTCTTCCGGGCAGGATCCTGCATCTCTTGCTTTTTCTTGGTTTTTGCTTCCGGAGGTGCCACAAATGATTTAACCTGCATCGATCCTTTGTCTTCATCGTTGCTTGGATTMAGCGAACGACTATTATCGGGAGATGATTCGATGATGATGGCGTCTGTTGCCAGGGGCGAGCCTATTGAAGGATGATTCAAATTTGATGGCCGCCTTGAAGTCACATCTATTCCATTTGCCACTAAGCTATCGAAGTATCTCCTCGCTACTTCGACAACAACAGAGGCCTCGAGCGGGCCTGCCTGGTCGTTGGAACAAGAGTCATCTACACCACTCATAGGGTCCGAAAGAAAACTCAAGGGATCAAGATCGCGCTCAAGATCGGAATGAAAATTTTTGTTTTCRTCRTGCTTATTCCACATGAGRTGGATGAACTTGAACACTTGTTCGTTGGTCCAATTTTTCAAAGGCTCAGGAAATCCTAAAGTCAACAAGATTGCTGACAAGAAGGAGAAAAACAAAGTTTCGTTGTAAGACACCTACACAAATCACGGTAAAACACACATTTTCCTTGCAAAACGCCAAAGCCAGAAAACTTTAAGGAGTGAAATACACTCAATAAACAAAATGTTTTATGCCACTCACGTCCAATTTCAAAACCATTCAATTGATCCAATTTTGTTCGACTGTTTGAAACAATACCGGCAGCAATGTGGCGCTGTTCCTCGTGACCAATCGAACAATGAACTAGAAACAAAGATCGTAGTGAACAATTGTAGGCAAGAGCATAGGCGACTGACTTTGCAGCAGTTGCATCAATGGCATTCCCCGACAACGATAGAGACAATAGCATTTTGGATTCAGCAACAGACTTCATCAAAACAGTAAGTCCTTGCGTGGTAATCGAATTAAAGCCTACATCCAAAACCTCGATAACTTTCATTGCGGGAATAATAGCAGCCATTTGGTGTGCCCCTCGATCGCCAATCATGTTATTGTCCACCTTTAGTTCTCTCAGCGTTGACGACCCCCATAATGCGTTTGCCATTGCCTCCAACCCATGATGAGTTATGTTGTTAAAGGAAAGTTGCAGAGATTCCAAAGGAAGCTTATCTTTGTTCGCCTTTATACTAAGAGCGAACATGCAAACTTCTTCATCTCCAATATCACAGTTTGGTAGAGAGAGCACTTTAAGATATGAAGTTTTCTCTAATAGTCTCGAGACAGCCCGACAACCAGTAAGTTCCATCCCTGTGCCTCCCAAGTAGAGTTCTTGCATGCCATGGAAGTTGTTGTTGTGATGRTGGTTGTGATGACGCTTTTTTCCTTCTCCTCTTGTTGACGAAGATGGCGACAATGATTGCGGTGATGATGAAGTTGTGTGCTGCATTCTAGTTTGTTTCGTATACATCTCGTTCTCTTCTTGTATACCGCCTTCAATGGTTTCCACGGCCAATTTCTCGCTCGAGAAAACAGCAGCGGCGCTGGGCTCGGCCATTTCTTTTTGCTGCTCTACGATTGCATTTGTAATGGCCTTGACTCCCTCTCCCCCTATTCGATTACCAGTCAAAAAGAGCTTTCGTAACCGACTCCCCCTCCTCAAAAAATCAGCTATTGCCATAGCACCATCTTCGCCGATAAGATTTCCTGCCAAGTACAGTGTATGAAGAGTGCTACCCCCACCATAATAGTTGTTGCCGACCGTGTTGTTTTTCTTTGAACTACCATTGCAGAGGTTGGGATGGTCTTTCCATCGTTTGTGTTGCTCTTCCGAAGCTTCTTGCATACAGTGCGCCAGTGCACGTATCCCCTCATCTCCGATATTGTTGAATCCTAGATCCAGTAGATTAAGTGATTTGTGTGCAACAATTCCGGCAGCCAGTGTTTTTACCCCTGAATCTCCGAGACTATTGTATCCAAGCTTCAGCTCGGTTAGATTGGCATTTTGTGCAAGTGCCATCTTCACCAGCTTGGCATCCGAGGCCTGCAAACTTCGCTGGGACAAATCGATTTTGCGTAGAGATCTTCGAAGAAGTGCTTCGGAGACTCGTTGAAGGACTGTTTCTCGGGAGGGTCTTTCTGGATAGTAAAAACCTGTTGGGATCTGTTTCGTTGCTGCTGTCGCTCCTATCGGGGTCGTCTCTCGATCCTTTCTGTAAATACCACTTCGACTTCCGTTGATRTTGCCAACACCATTCGAAAGCAAGGGTTTCGCGTGCGGTTTGGCGTGGGGCTCGGATTCCACTCGATACTKYCTAGCTGTAGGATCCCTTGCCACAGGAGCAGGGGATCCTACTGGAATCGTTTTGACCATCGACGCCTCAAGCATGTTAAAGGTTTGTGGTTCGCCGTATTTTGGAGAATATGCAGATGTTCCGGCGGCATGGCCGTTCATGCCATCTATTCGTGTGGGATAAATCCAATGCACGATGCACTTCTGTGTCTTCGATAGATAAAAAGATTGTTGTGTTTGTAATGTCTTTCAATGGTGCAGTGCAGGAGCAAGAGAAGGAGTCATTGGATACGCTGCACTTCATGAAGATGCATAGCAACAAACAAAAAGAGAAGAAATATTTCAGTTCGGCTTCAAAGGACTACGAATACGAGTACTTGTACCCGTAGACAACTGTACTGCTTCTTTACTKGAGTTGAAATTGCTAGTAGTTTGATCGCCCATATGCATACCGTACCACATGCTCGATATACCGGTACTGGGGTAGAAGAAGTTTGTACCGTACTGTAATGCACCGTAGCTCCGAACGGTACGTATCGACATCCGGAAGGTTCAGACAGACATTATTAGTACAAAGAGTTCGTAGTACGAATAGGGAGCGCTTTTGTGCTTGTACTACCTACCAATAGAAACAGCGAGTTTTTTGGGAAGAAGAGAAAAAGAATTCTTTTTTTTTCAATTTTTTCGACTTCATACCTC